GAGATAGAGAGAGGAGAGAGAAAGAGAGCAGATCGAGAGAGAGAGAGAAGGAAGAGAAGAGAGAAGTTAGATGAGAGAGGAGGGAGAAAGAGAACGAGAGGGAGGGAGAGGGAGAGGGAGAGGGAGAGGGAGAGAGGGAGAGAGAGAAAGAAAAAGAGAAAGAGAGAGAGAGAGAGAAAAAAGAGAGAGAGAGAGAGAGAGAAAGAGAGAGAGAGAAGGAGAGGAAGAGGTCGAGCACAAGAGAGAGGGAACAAGGGGAGAGAGACGGAAAAGGAGAGGCAGAAAGATAGATAGATAGAGAGAGAAATAGAAAAAGAGAGTAGAGGGAGAGGGCCATAGAGAGAAAAGGAAGAATTACAGAACAACTGTTCGGAGTGTTACCATCCGAGATGTTTCACATTACTCAATGTATTTATCAAGTAATTACTTACCAAGGTAAGATTACACAAAAACAAACAAACGAGGCCAACAATAAAAATATGATTTGTTCGCCCTCACCCGACCGACCCGCCAAAAAGGGGCCGACTCAACAAATTTTATTGATCTTTCCCATTCTCATTTTTTTTTACAAATTGCATCACTGTACATTATATAAATCTGTAGGCAGTACATTATATATACCAAGCAAAACAAACATTCAACATAAAAGGTATCTCCACACAAGCACACCATGCTGAATTTGTAAAAAGACTCCCCTCAAAAAAAGAACAAAGCCTACCTACCTACCTACCCAAACATTGCAGCCTGGGTCGGGTGAGGGCAAACAAGGATTTACTCACTCACCATAATGATGGACTGGCAGTGGTTCTCCCATCGACAGTATCATTGTCAGCACCATTGCCGAGTAACACATTCTCCTAGCATCTGTGAAACAAGAACAAGAACAAAATTGAGAAGAATTGAAGAGAGAGCATATATATATATATGAACAAGAATTCATAAGAAATGTGTATACTAGCATAGTTTTCAATGTTATCTCTGGCTAAGCAACGTGCTTGTGCTGGTTATCGTGGTAAGGGTATAGGCTGCACTTATGATGAGCAGCACCCCATGTTTCACACATCAGGTGCTCATGGTTTTCAATTATTAAAATAACATGGGTTTGCAATATTGTAAATTTTACTATTTAGTTTTAGTAGTTTCACGTATAATACATTTGTGATAAATATTAATGTTTGCTGTTAAATATTAATTGGCGATTGTTCGCAGCGAAAAAGGATAGCAATACGATGAAACTGCTTCATAACAAAAATAAATCTAATGTCTAAACAAACGATTTCTAAGGTGATGCTAAACTATTGTGTAAAGGTCTGTTTTCGGTTGCCACGGCGACCTCACCTGTTGTGTTTGACTGCATGTCTCGCACGAGTTCAAGTGGAAGCACAGAATTCAGTAGAATCGAGATAATTTGCTTTTCCAACCCGCAGAGGGCGCCAAACACTTGCAGCAGTAGCACACGAATCGGAACTCTCGTTTCCTAAGCAGCAGACAAGTACATATATACACGAGCAGAAAAGATCTAACCACGTCACCAACCTCGCTAGAATTATTGCATGTCGCAAGGTGACAGAGCATTACAGACGTTGATAGAATAGCTGATCAAATCTGTTTGCATCTATTGCGTCGCAGGGGCCACATAGCATCAGGAGTACATAATAGGGATTAGATATATTACCTATTATGTACTCCTGATAGCATGTAGCAACCTACACCATCAACATGATCTTTGACGGTGAGGTCTGTCCAGCGAGGGGATCGATATATGTTCTACGATTGACCGATCCGCTAGTGCAAAACATTAAAGTACGATTACATCCCTCTAATGTACAGCTAGCTCATTCTATCTGCTCCAGGAGTGGATATTAAAAAACGTTAGACAATCATATTAACATATTAGAAGACGTTATAAAATAAAAAACGCTGTCTTTTCCAGCATTATACTCACCATTCATTACCAGCAGCAGATCTGCTTGAACCGGAATATTATAAATGTATCAAGAGTTAAGAATAAATGTATTATTAGCTTTTGAATGCATTAATGTCGACCCGTGCAGCCCAACATGGCCGACAGAGTCACGTACCATCTGAAATTACTCGATCAAAAGCTAATCGGCAGCAGATCTGCTTGTTGCGGAATATTATAAATGTATTAAGAGTTAATAATATATGTATTACAAGCTTTTGAATGTATTAATGATGTCGACCCGTGCAGCTACTGCGCAGGCTGCTGGGGATGGCAACATGGCCGACAGAGTGACGCTGAAGGGGTCGTTGTCGTATATGTACCCGAGTATAGTACCCGAGGTGTCGGCGAGTATGTCGCCTACGCCTACTCCCTAACCCTAACCTTAACCCTAACACCCTAACCTTAACCCTAACCTTAACCCTAATCATATCAAATAGTTACCTCGAGTACATATTATACGCCATTATACGACAACGACCCTTCGTGCCAGAGTGACCTACCACATGGGTCGAAATCATAAGGGGCCCGCGGGCCCGATGACCATATTTTAAAACGGATAGACCTCGCAACAAAAGGCCTATATAGACCTACTGTGAGCATACTTGCAGTGTGCAAACATCACGAATTGTTCTCATTGAGCCAGAAATGTGCTCCGAAGTTGACTATTTTGAAAACGTACGTCAGACGCATGTTATTTGTACAAAGTGCCAGATAACGCAAAATATTATTTACTCCACGTAGCTCGGGCCTGCCATTTTTTAATACTAGCAAGTCCAGACGGCCCGTAAAAAATCCACACCCCACAGCCAGGCCAAAACCGATCCCGGCACGCCAAGCGTTTCCGGGATGATACAGGCGCTGTAATTTGACATGTCAGGGCCGGGGTGATACTCGCAATTAAGGAAGTGTTCCCAACATTTAATGTCACTAATGGGTCCAATAAAACATATATAATATATATAATATATATATAATGGTCATGGTCATATATTTGTTTGTGGTTTTAATGTCATTTAGGTTAAGGTTAGGTTAGGATTATCACAATCATTAATCATATCATACATTAATGATTATCAAAGTTGGGAACACTCCTAATGAGCGTTAAGCCGTCAGGAAGGGCGCTGTATAAATCCCTTACCACAGCCTACAGCACCGGCTTTGGCCTGTAAAATGTCGTAAACTGAATATTCTACCACTGCTTACCAATCTGATAATACTGCTTTAACCATCTGATAATACTGCTTACACATCTGATAATACTGTTACCATCTGATGAATACGCTTACCATCTGATAATAGCTGCTTTACCCATGCTGATAAAAACTGCTTACCAATCTGATAAATACTAGCTTACCATCTGCATAATACTGCTTAGCCATCTGATAATACTGCTTTACACATCCTGATAATACTGCTTAACCATCTGATAATACTGCCTTACAATTCTGATAATACTGCTTACCATTCTGATAATACTGCTTACATCTGGATAATACTGCTTACCATCTGATAATTACTGGCTTACAAATCTGAATAATAACTGCTTACCAATCTGATAATAACCTGCTTACCATCTGAATAATACTGCTTTAACCATCTGATAATAACTGCTTACCGAATCTGATAATACTAGCTTACCAATCTGATAATACTGCGTTACCCAATCTGATAATACTGCTTACGCATCTGCATAATACTGGCTTACCACTGATAATACTACACTTACCATCTGATAATACTGCGCTTACGACATCTGATAATACTGCTTACCATCTGATAATACTGCTTTACATCTGATAATACTGCTTCCACCATCTGATAATACTGCTTACCATCTGATAATACTGCTTACCATCTGATAATACTGCTTACCCATCTGATAATACTGCTTACCATCTGATAATACTGCTTACCATCTGATAATACTGCTTACCATCTGATAATACTCGATCAGTTCAGCATGCACTCGTACGCATCACCGTCAATCACGCGCCTGCACGTCGTCGGGTTCGCGTTCGTCTGCAAAACAAGCGAACGGTCGACACAACAAGCGCAACAACGCGCAACAACAGCGCGGAAACAACGCGCAACAACGCGCAACAACACCACAAGACCTGCCAACCTGTGATTCATGAAAAATAGTAAGGCTTTTCTTTTCTGCATGAGGCGGGCCATATTTGTTTTTATGTTAAATGGCGCGCAATGAAATGATGGGACTAACTCTAAGACTAATCCAATATGGCTTCGCCCACAATCGCCAGATATTTCTCGGCTCACAATGTAAAAAACATTAATTTTCACAAGTCGTAAAAAATCGTAAGTTTTCCAGTTTGATCGTACATTCGTAGAAACATCATGGAATTCGTAAGGAATACGAAAAAATCGTAAGGGTTGGCAGGTCTGCAACCACAGCGCCCCACGACACCCCCGTGCCCCGCGCGCACGTTGGTAGCGAGCACGACCCATTCCTCATCATTACACGGCCGAGTCACAAGATGTCCGCCCTCACGGATAAATTTGTGCAGGTAGTTGCACTGGAGTGGCATGCCACAGGATACCCTTCCAGGAATTTCGGAAAGCATGTTGTTGTTATTTTTGTTGTTAAATTTGATAAAATCTACGTACTGGGAGGGATCCCAGTACGTAGATTTTATCAAATTTAACTGTTTCATAACTTCCTATGTAATTTTTGGGCACGTTTATTTTCACCTAAGGAACATGAAAAAGTACCAAAAAACCAGGAACATGTATATATATTATATTAAAAACAGCTGAAAATTAAAACATGTCAATCAGGAAATTAAGGCATGCAGGAGGACTTACGGAACGTCGCAAATTAGCTTCAGATTGTAAGGACAATGTCGGACCGCCTCCCCCCTCCCCACAACATATAGCCGGTTTTATAAACCAGGGGAGAAACCCATACCAGAATGGAGAAGAGTTCTTCGAGGTATTCCATGATGATGCTCTGGTCTTCGTGCAGGGCCCAGCTGCGCTGCTGCGAGTCATCCTTGCATCCAGCGAGCTCAGAGAAGATGACGCGAAGTCGCTTAGCATCCTGGCTCTTATCCGTCTCCTTCTTCTCCGCCTGTGTAGGTGTGCATTGTCAGTACAGCAATACAAGCACACGCACACACACACATATAATATTATATATATAGATAATGCAAAAGGCCTCGACACTAGGCGGTGGCTCGCGGTGGCACCGGGAGCCACCAAAACTTGAACATGTCGGCCAACTCAAAATTTCCAAAAAGTTAAAATTTGGATGCACGATGGGCCACTAAAAATTTCAAAGTGTCTAATGTGATAAAAATAATTGTTTCTTACGTGCTAAATACTCATTCAAAAGAGAGCGAGCATCGCGGAGCCAGGCACAGCGTACGCACGTCGCAGCATCTAAAAAATACCCGGCATACAACGGCGCACGGTTTTATCCACTTCCTAACTGCGGCTGGCAAACAAGCCACGTTATTGTGTTAGACTGGTATCCGGCCCTCACGGCCTCCTGCTAGACAATGTTTACAACGCTCTGCGACGAAAACAGTTTTGCTTGCGAACCAGTCTACAAGAGGTCAAAATCTGAGGCGGTCGCATATTGCAAGCGCCTCAGCATACATGTGATTAGCATTGTATCAAAGCGAACCAGAGACAATGCGTCTAGACAATACGCCTGTCGCAGTGTACTGTGGAGGCGTATGTAAAAATGAAACGCGAGCCAGATGAGAGTTTTCGAGGGCAAACAATTGTGTCATAATAAAAAAATGATGAAATTTCTTTCACTTTTTTTGATGATATTTTGTTAAAAATGTTAAAAAATACGGTGACACCCGCTCATGCGTAACCAGAAGGTCGGTACGGGACGCGGGACACAATGGGCAAATGCGGGACGTTCTGGTCAACCCCAGATTGCCTAGCTTAGCTGCACTGTGCTCACTGTTTCGGATCCGAGCGAACTGGGGTGTTGGCTATCTCCCCCGGGCGTGGAGGGAAGGATCACGTGATAACGTGACGATGACGTTCCAAGAACGTTAACCCTAAACGGTAACCTCTCACTTCAACACCACCGAAGCACTAACTCCTCACACTAAATATGTTATGTGTCAGGCGGACGCTATATATCTAGGCATTGGTGATTCCAGCAAAAATTAATACTATGGTGTGGGGACAGATATCATGGATGCAAAAACTCCTAACCCTAACCCTAATCCTAACGCTAAATCATAACACCATAACCCCTAAATCCCAACACTAAGTGGCTCGCCACGTTGGCGGTCACCTCCCTCCACGCCCGGGGATAGCACTACCCAATTCGCCAGCGCGTTCGAAAGTTCGCATGTAGACGAATAACTTGAACTATTCCATGAAGATGATCAGTATTGATTAATTCCGAAGTGTATATTAGTGCTTTTTTTGTAAGTTTATTTATGCATTTTCTCATGTCTCTGTTACGCACGAATATTGAACTTA